ACCTACCAACGGTTAATAAAGGTCAATGGTGGAAACTATTTTGGAAGATTCCAGTGCAACTTGAGGTCAAAATAAGTTGTCGGTTACTCGAAGCAGAATCCTAATTACAGCCTGGCAAGTTTGGGAAGCAAGAAATAGAATCATTTTTAAAGGCGAATTTCCAGAGATCATAGAAGTTCAACAGAGATGCAAATCAAGGAATTCGTAGACCTGGGGAAAGGGAGAGAGAGAGATGCATCTGTCAAGCGCTTCACCTCAAGGACGCCCAACTCATAGAAGATTTATACAGATTCAGTGTGGCAAGCAGACAAAGGGTTGGATTATTAGAGATGAGAGGTGGAGATGAAAGAGAAGTTACTTACCTTAGAACTTATGGCAATTTGCAAAGGGATGGAAGCGGCGACAGAAGAAACACCCAAACCCATTCTCTTCCAAATAGATTCTTTGGAAGCATTCCACTTGATTCAAGGCTGATCAACCACATAAGACGTGATGAAAATCGTGTAGTTGGCCAGTGGTTTCATAGTTTCCTGTCCTGGATAACGGGAAATTGACTCAAATAACCCTCCAAAGTTTCTGAAATGCACAAATAACCCACCTCCTTTAATTGAGCCCAAATAACCCACTTTAATATTTTATTGAATTTAAATGAAGTAAAATTACATTAGTACCCCTCAATTCAAAAAAAAAAAAAAAGAAACTGTGTCACTTTCTTTCTCATCTCCTTCGTTCGTCTGTGTTCCGTTTTCTTCATCTTCTCCGTTCGAGCTTCCCTTTCTTCTCCGTCTGAACTTTCTTTCTCCATTCTTCCATTGCTAATTCGTCTTGCAAGAAAGTTAATTTGGAGATTTGAACTTCGAGGTTCGTTTGATTTCTTAACGTAGTTTAGTTGTTGCTCGATTGCGAAGATCAGGGCTTTATTTTTTATTGCTTCTGAGAAGTTAATTGAAGCTTACCTTTGTCGATTTATTGCGTCTAAGAAACTATCCCGAAGTTAATTTTTTTTCTGAACATAGTTTAGTTGTTGCTCGATTTGGACTTGGATTTCATTTTTTGGAAACGAAATATGCTTTCTGTATTTGCTATTGATCTGTTACTTTGTCTGTGATTCTTCTGTGTTGTGGTGTGGTGGAATGTCTGTTGAAATGTCGGAGGTTGAGGTGATGGGAGGTTGAAGAAGACTGTACCATAGCCGAAGTAGGAGTAACCTTGAGCGTGGTTTACGGTTTTGGAGGGGTTTTTGCTATCTGTTTATTTTCTCGGGCTCGACCTCGGGCGAGGTTTAGCCCGAGGTAATTTGAATAGGCTCAACTCAACCTCGAAGTTGAGCCTCGAGGTTGAGCATGATTCAATTACCTCGGGCTGAACCTCGCTCGAGGTTGAGCTCGAGAAAATAAACAGACAGCAAAAAAAACCCTGGAATAGCTTTCAAATTTTTGTATATTGTACATTTATCTTCATATATTTTAGTGTGTACTTTGTTTGATTTAATTTGAATGTACATGTTTGTTTGTATTTACTTATAGGAAATGGAAATGGTATCGAAGGTCCCTCCCGCGCTGTATGCCTCTTCCCAACTGACCTGTCTATCGCACTTAACGAAGACAGTCGAGGCCATTAAAAAGAAACTTACCCCCCGTCAGATGCGTCTATTTAGGAAGACTGTAGTTGGCCATCTGCTTGATGTGGACCTTGTCTTTAACGGACCACTAATCCATAGTTTGCTGCTTAGGGAGGTGAATGAGAGTCTCCCAGACACCATTAGCTTAAACTTATTTGGGAGTAAGGTGTCCTTTGGTCGGAGAGAATTCGACATAATTAGCGGACTAAAATATTCGAGATCTCCCGTAGGAAGAACACCTTTCCCGTTAGGCTTAGGGCTTTGTACTTTGATAATAAAGTTGACCTGAGCTTGGGTGAATTTGAGAAGAAGTACGAAGTGGCGCGTTTTGAGGATGATTGAGATGCAGTGAAGGTATCAATCGTATACTTAGCTGAATTTGTACTTTACGGTCGGGAGCGAAGCATGAAGTACGACAATAGTTTGCTTGGAACAACAGACGATTGGGAAGTGTGCTGCAACCATGATTGGGGACAGCTATCGTTCGAGAAGACAATAAGAAGTCTGCAGCGAGCACTGACGAAGAAGACAAAGGAGGGGAGGTTGAGGAAATCGTATAGTCTGTACGGTTTCCCGTGGGTATTCCAGGTAAATAAATATATGTTAATCTGCACAGTAATTTGGACCTAGTAATTGCTATTAACATTCTTTGAAATTTATACAGGTGTGGGGGTACGAGATTATATCTTCTATGACTGGACGAGTTGCTAGGAAGATTAGTGACGATGTCATCCCCCGTATGCTCCGGTGGAGGTGCGGTCACTCGACAGGATGGGTCGTGTTGGAGAGGGACATCTTCCAGTCTACAACAGTAAGTGACACACTTGAATTTTATTTGATTTTGAACTGTACCGACTGAAGCGGAGAGGACGTTTTTGAACAGGGTATGCGAGCCACCAACATCAGATGAGGTGGAAATGGATGAAGAAGTCCCCGAACCTTCAAAGACTGCATGTGGGGGTCAGGACAATGTTGGTGCTCCCACTGATGCCGCTATCGATGATACACAGGACGGAGAGGGCACAAAGAAGAAAGATAAAAATAAAAAGAAGAGTAACAAGAAAGTGTTCAGGCGACTTAGAAGTTTGGACATGCGTATGGGCGCTATGGACACGCGTATGAGTGCTATGGAGAAGAGGCTAGAAGGTGTGAAGGGTGAGCTGAAATCCATACGCAAGTATTTGAGACGGATTGCCAAGGTAAGTTTTTATTAATTAAGTTTGTATTATATTTCGTTTTCTCCATCGCCCTCATGCAATATGTCATTTTACGTACAGGGTCAACTAGTCGACCCGGCCGACATGCGAAGAGGTAAGGGAGGTGACGCTGATGGTGGAGCGGGAAGTACGGGTGATGGAGGGTATACTCAAGGGGATGCAACGGACAGTTATCCTAAAGGTGACGGACGTGGGGATGCAGCGGGCGATGGACGTGGGGATGGTGCATCTGATGTTCATGACGACACAATTGTGCAAAATGTCTAGCAGGAACCAATGGACCCCGATGTAGTAGACGTCGGCACTAGTGCAGTTGGCAATGAAAAAGCTATGGACCATGAGGTAGCATACGTCGACACTGGTGCGGTTTGTACAGAACAAGCCGTGGACCTTGAGGTAGGAGATGTGCATCAAGGAACGCCTCATGTTCATCCAAAGGACGTCCAGAGTACGGGCATTGGTACATCGAAGCATGTGGGAGCTGTTGAGTCCGATGTCATTCAGTACGAGTCACTGATACAGGTATCTGAACTGCTGCTCACTACCTTATTTTGTTTGCGATAACCTTGACGTCGTTCTAACGATAACATACTTTCAGGTACAAATTCTTCATGATTCATCAGACACCGACACTGACCCGAATATCGTATCTCAGTCACAAGCGACCAAGGAATCCCAGTCGCAGGCACCCGAAGAAACACAATTTCAAGAGAAATCACAAGGCCAGTCACGTGTGGACGACAACGAGGTACGTGTGTTACTGCAGCCAGTCACGCGTCCAAACCCTCGTCGTGGAGAACGAGAAAAGAAAGTGCCATAGAAACATTGAGGATCGTACAAAGTTAAAGTTGGCAGGAAGCGAAAGAGGGTAATCGAGTACAATCCAGTTCCAGATCTCCCCGCCACAGAGGAGGAAAAATTCAAAAAATGGATTGAAGACTACGTAGAAAACCGTTCGACCTGAAAAACACCTTATGCGTACAGAGGGAAGTAATGGTTTCGTGACCTACTTCAGCCAAACAACTGGTGCACGAATGAGGTACATATGCTTAGAATGGTGTTTGATATTAATTGCTTTTTTTGTTTCGGTGTCTATTGGTTTTAGAGTGGCGCAAGAGTACGACTGGGATAAGCGGGAGAGTACTGTCATGTCATACATCGACGGAAGTCATTCGGACTACCCGCTGCGATGGCGTGAGGTGGAGGCTATCTATTTACCGTACAATGTCAACGACAACCACTGGGTCATGATTTGCATAGATCTCGTTGAGGGTGATATCGTCATCTGGGACTCCTTCAGGGCAATTACCACGGATGAATCATTGGAGGAGCAGCTGAACGTTATGCGCACAATCATCCCACCCTTACTGTATAAATCCCAGGTGATCCCGGTATGTCCATCCCTACCAATCACACCATGGCGAATCCGTAGGGTTACGTCGGCACCGCAGAAGTTCGGTAGTGGAGATTGCGGCATTTTTTGTGTTAAGTATTTTGAATATGATGTAACAGGGACTCGTTTAGATACATTGAGGGAAAATATGATGCCATACTTTAAGAGGCAATTTGCCTTTCAACTATGGGGTAATAGGGCTGTATGGTGATTGAGAAATACAATCATATTTTTTGGTGCAATTTATTGGCTTAAATTATTTTTTGATGTACTTGCAAATCGGTGCTAGTGGATTGAGTTGGTAAATGGTGAATTTAGTTAAGTGAAGTTATTAATAAAGTTTAGGACTGCATTTTCAATATTAGGATCATCTTAATCTTTATTTCGAAAGAACATTGTATTTTACGGCCGAGGTAGGCTGCTTTACGCGCGAGATTTTTGTAATAACTGAATAAAAAATACAAACCTCGGGCTCCGCCTCAATCGAAGTCGCGCCCGAGGATTTTGGCAGAACTAAAAAGAACCAACCTCGGCTCCACCTCGACCGAGGTCGAGCCCGAGAATTTTGACAGTATCTAAAAAATAGCATTACCTCGGGCTCCACCTCGACCGAGGTCGATCCTGAGAAATTTGACAGTATCAACCTATTATCAATGCATTCCAAAATGAACCTAAAAAATACATGTTTCAGATACCAGCAAAACCACAATGTCGTAAAACCGTAGCACAGATTCAAACGAAACAAAATGCAGTACACAAGCATATCAATCTATTCGGTTTCAGTTGTTCGAAGCGGTTGTCTACACGTCTTGCAGTTGTGTCCAACGTTTCCACATCGCCCACATTTGTGTACCTGGCGGACTTCACCGACTGATGGTATCCTGGCAGTTTGGCAACGTCCAACACGAGGAACGAATCTGGGTGGCTGAATCGTCGTAGGCACATAATCATATGGTAAAATCCAATCTTCCTCATCTCCAAGCGGGTACACGGGTTCAACATAAGCTTGTATGAGGGTATCTATTCGGTACCTATCAGAACATAATGTATGCACACTAATGTTACGAAGCACCGCCCCGGCAATGGCGTGAGAGCATGGAATTTCGTAATAGTAAAATTGTTTGCACGTGCAAGTCTTACTATTAATGTTTACACGTACCTTCGTCGCACCATCATGCACTTCAAATTCGAAACGATCAATCGGCCTGACATGATGATATCGAGCTTGTTCTGCCACTTCTTTAAGAATATTCTCTGCATATTCGGTGAGAAATGTTCCTCGACTAGACCCGGCAGTCCGCCTATCGTAAAACCATTGTTGTAGGAGAGATCGACAATTTTCAAATAGGGCTGTTATTGGCAAATCACGAGCATGAACGAGTACCGCATTCATGGACTCGGCAAGATTCGAGGTCATTTGGTTATACCTCATACCAGGTTGATATGTACGGGCCCACTTGTCCAAGCCGATGTCTTCCAAATATTTGTGTACGCCGGGGAATCCGGCGAGTTGGCCCCAATAGTACCGAAACTTTGATACCTTGAACGCCTTGGCTGCTTTATAGAAAATCCTCCTCATCCCCCCATTTCTAAACTTCTCGGTCAACTTCATTGCTACATGATGCATACAGGTAACGTGCGCTGCATCAAGAAACATCGTTGCCACGGAGTTTGTTATAGTTTGATGCCGGTCAGATACAAAAACTAAACCATCTACGTTACCTATACAGATCTTAACTCTCTCCAAAAACCATGTCCACGATTCATCAGACTCCTTATCAACAACCCCGAAAGCTAGAGGGTAAATTTGGTTGTTACCATCTACTGAGGAAGCAGTAAGTAAGACACCCCTGTACTTCCCCTTCAGATGTGCTCCGTCAACCACTAGGACCTGCCGGATGCAACTTCCAAAACCCCTAATCGAGCATCCTAAGGCCATGAATGCATACTTAAAGTATGTGTCGTCCTCCAACTTTATCTGAAATACAGTTCCTACATTCGCAGCCTTCAAAGCCGCTCCATACTTATGCAGAGTAGTATATGACTCTTTAGGCGATCCCATCAATAGGCTTAATGCGACTTCTCTCGCCCGCCATGTCTTTTCGTATCGGGTATTGACACCGTAGTTCCTTCGCATGTCAGTAATAATATCCCTAGGACGGTAACGACGACTGATGTCCTCGAGATTGGTCTTTATCAGCTGGCCAACCACCCAACTACCGGCTTGCTTATGGTCGTGCCTCAGTGTCTCTCGTTCATGAATGTGGTCTTCGGAAAACGTAGAGATGAGGAAGGTATCCGAACCTTTAATTTTTCGTGCACGCAAGGCCCATCTACATCCCTCTTCTTTGCATGCAACACTTAACAAACTCCTAGTAGATTTCTTAACCTGAAACTCAAAGTTTTTTTGGATAGCAAAAACAGCCAATGTAAAGCGCAATTCATCCTTAGACCGAAAAAGACTGCCAAGTGCAATGTCATCAACCAAGTCATCGTCACAACCAATCGTATCCATCTGTTCTAAGGATGCATGCACACCCTCGACTGTTGCACAAGGAGCATTCCTACTAACAGACTGTACTTCAACAACAGGTGTTCTTAAGGATGGATCACCATCATACACTGGTTCATCCGCTTCATTATCATCCTCGCTCTCAATCTCTTGGTAATCATCGTCATCCTCGAGGTCATCCCCAACCATACGGTACTCATGGTCCTCATCATCTCCAACATCATCCCACTGACCGAAGTGTTCGTGTTCATCATCACCTAAATTGCATGGGACAACATTGTCTGTCAATGGAGTCATAAATTTTACGGAAGATGGTGGGTGGACAGTACGTATAGATGAGTGCACATGATTCAGTGGAGCAGGAGAAGGAACATTTTGTTCTACTTGCCATGGAAATGAAGCAAATGTTTCGGTTTGAGGATATAACGGTACATCATGTGAGTTACTACCACTACATTGTCTTTCCTTTGGTACAACAGATACATACAAGGGTACTTGAGAGGGATGTGGAGGGCCCATAAGGTAAAAACCAAGGCTAGTATCATCAAATATATAAAAGTTCGGTACTCCGTACTGGAACTCGAATTTGTAGATACATTGTAGAACAATATTGAAAATGTCAGGATTTATTCTAGTCATCCTAAATATCGCACTTACTAGGTCTCTATATGTTATTCCTTCATCAACATTTAGACCACCCATAACTCCACCTTCGTATACAGTGCCTGCCTCATTCCACTGACCCCATAGCTTACAAAAAGACGAACCATTCTGTTCTGCATTACAAAGCATTGCAAGACAATTAAAGATGAACGATAAAGTTATATATAAACATATACCTCGGGCTGGAACTAGATTTTCTCGCCCGAGGTGAGTTACATCCACGACCACGCCTGGGGTGAGTTAAATAAAAATTTCATAATGCTAATCTGTGACCTCGGGCGAAAATTTGGTACCCCGCCCGAGTTTCATAAAATACATGATTCTCGGCCGGGAATCAAATAACCCCGCGCGAGAATGATTAAAAAACTGGACTACATAATGCAGGAATGCAAAAATGGGTTTCAAACTAAAAAACAAACGTTCCGAAATAAAAAAATAGCGTTTTAGATGTAGACATCAAGCAAGGTTCTTGAGAAAAATGAGAAAGCATCAAAGTTAAAGAACTACCTCTTCCAAAATGTCCAAAATGTTGAAACTTTCAAAAAGAATATTCACGATGCTTTTCAGATTTTGTAGGATTGTGCAGAGAGAATGTACGCGATAAAGACTTTTGTTCTCTCAGATTAGTAATGACATGTACTGATTGGTTAGATAAAAAACTTAATAGGACTGTACAAAGTTGGTGTGAATTAAATGAACTTCGAGCAGGAATTATATCTACCCCGACCGGGAATTATATCTACCCCGGCCGGGAATTATTCCAACGGTGCTCTGTTTAATTTAATGGCATTATGGTCATTTCATATGCTCTGACACATCATCAATGCTTAAAATAGGTCATTTGGGCACAATTAAATAGGGTGGGTCATTTGAGCATTTCAGAAACTTTAGAGGGTTATTTGAGTCAATTTCCCCTGGATAATCGAGTTACTTAACAAAGATCTCTTTTAGTTTGTTTTGTAATCTTTAATTCTCAAAAATAAAAAACAATAGGGGTAAATCTTTAGAAATTTTAAGTTATGAAAATTAAATTTATGGAACTAATTTGTTACAAAATCAAATTAAATCGTTACACACCCAAATTTAGAGGTTAAATCATTACTTCGATAAAAGTTTTGTATTAAAAGTAATTTTTAACGTATTTTTAATCAAATCTCGAATAACCTTTGTTTGCTTAACTAATTTTTCATAAATCAATTTCATTATGTTGTTGATTTTCGTCAAATACAAACTCGTTGCCCCTACTCCGTATTGTCCTGCCAAATTTATGGGTCAAAATTTAGTCAACAAGAGCTAGAGCTAGTGACAGATCCAAAATTTTTGTCTAGAGAGATTTTATTTAAAATTCAGCTAATATGCTCAATTTAGTCTCTAATATTATAATTATAAATGATGGATCTAAAATCTCTCATTGTATAAAGGAAATGTGAACATATTGATATATATTTAATTAATATTTTTGACACTATTTTCAATAATATGTCTCAACCTTAACAAATCCTTAAATTTCAACTCTCAATTTTGCAGATAAACCCATAAACTTCAAAACAAATATCTAACAAGTTCTTAAATCGATAGATTCTTCCATTCATAGACGCAATAGTAGAACCTATAACGGAACTTGTTCAAGTAAGGTAGTTTGAACCAATGGATTTTTTAACTTCAAAAAGAACGTATCCATCGAACATAAATTTTATACTTTTTAGATGTAAAATTGAAAATTAAGAGATCTATTAGATTTTGAAATTAAATATATTTTTTTTATTAATTAATATATATATATATATATATTTAACAGCAACACAAAATATCAAATTTAAAAATAAAAAATAAAAAATTAATAACATATATTTTTAAAAAAAAAAAAAAATCAGTCCTTCCAGCTCAGGATCTAAAGTTCAGAACCAAAAAATTTGTTTGGGAGTTTGGGCTCGTTGAGTGACTTCAATAATATTTATGAACTAAAGGATTTTTATTTATATTCTGGAACACATTAAAAATTGGAAATAAGAGAGTAGAAGTTTATTTTTGTAATTTTTAAAATTTTTAATAAGAAAGTAGAAATTTATGTTTATTATATTTTGGAACACATTAAAAATTGGAAATAAGAGAGTAGAAGTTTATTTTTGTAATTTTTAAAATTTTTAATAAGAAAGTAGAAATTTATGTTTATTATTTTTAAAATTTCTATATAATTTCGGAATATTTTGAAAAACGAGAAACAAGAGATCTCTAATTAGTCGTAAAATGATAAGATTTCGAATATTGAAAACGAGAAACAGGGAGTAAACAAAAAAATATTACGACAGGAAGTTTGACGCGAATTCAATATTATTTAAAGTTGAGAGCTCTATAAATAGTACGCAACTGGCGCGCGCAACTGAGAACTTGTTTGAAGTTTGAACTGAAATCCGCGAGAGAGTGAAAATGGAAGACGACGTAGGGGAGAGATCGAGCTACGTGATTGCTCTGATCGAGAACAGAGCGAAGGAGGTACGTTTCTTTCTGCAATTCCTGGAGTCCTTCGTTTTCTGATCAGAAATTGCAATTCCTCAGAGATTGAGTTTTTTACTTCATTTTGCCATATGAGGAAGCACTGTCATGAATCGCGATATATGTTCTAACGTCTTGCTGAAGCTTTTAATCCACATTAATCTCCTGTCAGGTTGGAGTTGCTGCATTTGACTTGAGATCAGCTTCACTTCATCTTTCTCAATATATAGAGACCAGCAGCTCCTACCAGAATACAAAAACTTTGCTGCATTTCTATGATCCCATGGTGATTCTTGTCCCTCCAAACAAGCTCGCACCTGATGGCATGGTTGGAGTTTCAGTTTTGGCAGACAGATTTTATGCTACAGTGAAAAAGGTAATTTAATTTGTATTTGGCGAGTTCGTTTTGTCCTTGACTCAGCATGCAATTTCTTTGGAGATCGCTTGCCTTTATACAGAATCTTAAACTATTTGCGGAGCTTTGTAGGTTGTAATGGCTCGTGGTTGCTTTGATGACACAAAGGTTTTTTCCTTCCTCGTATGGTTACCATATGGAATGCTGTTCTTTAATCGGTTGTGCTTAGAACATATTTTATTTGAACTTTTCAGGGTGCTGTTCTGATTAAGAATCTGGCAGCCAAGGAGCCTTCTGCTCTTGGTTTGGAAACTTATTACAAACAGTACTATCTCTGCTTGGCTGCTGCTGCTGCTAGCATTAAGTGGTATTTTCAGAACTTAAGCCTTTTACAAGTTTGATATGAGAAGTGTGTGTTAGATTATTTTTACCTACGGTTAACTAACAAGAAGAGAGGAAAATTTTCAGTATCACGATGCTAATATTTTATTTTGAGTATCGTTGTTGGCTCGAACGATCAGTTATCATTAATGAACAAGCTTCCTGATGGACAGGATAGAAGCAGAGAAGGGGGTTATCGTGACCAATCACTCTCTATCGGTAAATTTGCGTTTCTGAGATGGTGGTAGAAATTAACAGTTTTCAATGGTTTAACCTTTCTCCTGATGCATGGATGAGATTTTCTGTAAGAAAAATGATCTCACGACTAATATAACTGAATTAACAAGCCAAGTTAAGTTTCTGTAGTTTTGTTTCTCAACTTCTCTTCCTAGTTGGAAGGCATTATTTAATTTTATTGTTCTTTCCTTTCCTCTTGGTTGAGTACGTATAATAAGATGCACCTTATTTCATACACCATTCTCTTCTTTACAGTGTATGGTTAGTCATACAATTCGTCGATAATTCGAAATATAATAGTGCTTGAGTAGGAACATGCTGAGCCTTTCTCTTCTATGCTATTCTTTGCTGTTCATCCTCTACATTACTTCCCAGAGTACTTCCTGCTAATACGTGACTTTTCCACCTTCGATTTGCAAAGAAATTTCTTTTCCCTGTTCCTTTTTTTTTTTTTTTGAATGATGAAGCTCTGTTGCTCTTGCCACCCCTGCGATGACCCTATGCGCAAAAATTGTTCATGTTATTTGTTATTTTAGCCACCAGACAAGGCTTTTCCTATATATTGGCCGAGTCACAGATTTGAAACACATCAACCCGAATTTAATGTTTTGGCTCCTTGTTAATACAGTTCCTTTTTTTAATTATTACGTTATTAGACTTAAATTTTCACCACAATTCAGTTCCTTTCACTTATTGTTGCTCTACTTTCTAGATTTGTGTTTTGAAGGATAAAGTACTCTGGACTAAAGAACTTGTCCTGTGGATATGTAATTAACTTTAGGAACTAGGCTTAAAACACTTGTTCTCTCTTGGACTTCGAATATCATATTTATTTTTCCTTTTTTTACTTCGGAATGAATATGAATAAGACTTTAATTTGTTTCTGGAGTTCTTACTCCATCCTGATGGTTCTGTTTTAACGTTTAGGTCACCTTTAATGGCTCATCTGATCATGTGAGCATTGATGCAACGAGGTTCCCTCCATTTCTCTTTTCCTTTGAAATATGTGTAACCTAACTGCTGATTGCAAAATCGTATGTCCAAGTGATACTCTGATTCGTAGTTTTCATACTTCTTAAAGAACATTTTATCAAGAATTGGCGTCAAAAAGTTGACACCGATTTCTGAGTAAATTCTGAATTGTTTGGTGGCAGTGTTCAGAATTTAGAAATTATCGAGCCACTTCACTCCAACCTTTGGGGAACAAGCAACAAAAAGAGAAGTCTGTTCCACATGCTCAAGACAACAAAAACTATAGGAGGGTATGAGAACACATGGTTCGGTTGAGTTTTTTTCTTTTTTCTTCTTTTCACCGCCTATTGCTGCAAAATTGATTGTGTTACCTCTTCATCACGTAAATACGTTTTTAGTCCCTATTGTATGTTTGTTTCAAAATTTTATGCTCTACTCTCACTGCAAGTTTGTTCAAGTTTTTGTTACAGGTCTAGACTACTTCGTGCCAATCTTTTGCAGCCACTAAAAGATATTGAAACCATTAATGCCCGCCTAGATTGCTTGGTCAGTATCATACATGGTTTGTGGTAAATGCATAGCCATGTTTCGGGTTGACTGAAGTCATATGATTTGATTTCATGAAATTTAGACAGAGAAATTATGTTGTACGATCTAAAATCAATAAGCAGTAAACCATAGTTAGGGTGTC